CACAAAGACCGTTCACCCTCCTGTGGGCTCTGTTCACAGGCAGAGCACGGGCGGGTGGCCGACCTCCTCGCCTGGGCCGCCTCAGCGCTCCCGAGGAGCAGGTGGGGAAGTGGGGACGACGCAGTCTCCAGGTGAGGCTCCCCGGGCTGCGCGCTGACCGAGAACGCCCTGAAGGCAGGTCCCGACTTAATCACCTTCTACCCTGGGTGGAGCTCAGTGTCGCACGAGGCAAACGTGCTCACGGAAGCGTTGGTGAGCGAAGACAGTGACCAGCGAGCCTGTCCTGCCCGGGGCGTCTCCCCCTTCCTCTTCTTTCCGTTGTTAAGTTGAAGTCTAGTCAGTTTACAATGTTGCGTCAATTCCTGGTGCCCAGCATCGTGTCTCGGTCATGCACGCACACACACACACATTTGTTTTCATGTTCTTTTCGTTATAGGTGACGACACGGCACTGAGCAGAGCTCCATGCACCCTACGCAAGACACCTGTTTTTATCTCTCTCCCTTCCTCTTGTCTCTGGCCTTTTCAGGCTCAGAGGACAGGCTCCCCGACGAAGCACAGGCAGACCCCAAATCTCTCCCCCATCCCGCCCGTCAAAGAGCGTGCGATATCCTTGCCCGAGATGGACCCTGTGACCTCAGCCAGGGCGGGAGCAGAGGCGGTGCGGGGACCCTGCCCCTCCCCTGAGACCCCGAGGAAGCAGTGGCGCTCTGCCGTCTACCAGACCCTTCAGACAGAGCTGGGGAGGCTGGTCCTCCCGCCCAGCCCAGGGGCTCCCGCAGCCGGTCTGCGGGACGGCAAAGCGAATGTCCTCTCGCCCGCCCATCGGATGGTAATCGTGAGCGGTACCGGGTGGGTGAGGTCATCAGGCCCGCGCGATGTTGCACACACATGAGGAAGCCATTACTGACAAAACTGCAGATGTGAAAATAGAGCTGCACATAGTTTCCTGGTTACCACATGCTAGTGCTGATGGACTTTTAGTGCCAGCGAAATGTGGCTTCCTTCTGGCCCCCGCCACAGCCCACCTCCCCGCACGTGCGCTCACTGTGGGAGGCGTGGCTGACTTTCTAGACGCCCCGTGTCTCCCCCACGACCCTCCTCCCCAGGGCTCACCGCGGAAGGGGGGTGATGCTATCCTGACCACCGCTGGGGGCCGGGCCGGCGCAGGACCAACAGAGCCAGCTCCAGGCCGAGAGGGACACCCGCCACCCCCTGCAGGGGACAAAGAAGGCCGGGCCAGCCGTCACCGGTGTCCAGTGACATCAGGGTCAGGCTGTGTCCAAGCCCCAGCTTTGCCACTGGAGCAGGGCCCTGAGACGAGGCTGAGAGACAAACCCTCCAGACAGGCTCAGGTTTGCCAAAGCAAGTCCTCTCCTTTCTTGGGATGAACCCTCCTTGCAAGCTGAAGGGTGGTGCTGGTTCCCTACAGGGCAGAGTCTCGGGCACCTCTGCAGCGGACCACAGCCGTCCTCTAGGCGCGTCTTAATGGTGCAAGCAAATGCACACACACCCCTAAACCCTGCAAGGAGCAGAATCGGACCCCCTGGGGCCTGACCCACGCACACAAGGCGCTCGCCCACCTCTCCTCACCCCTCCACCCAGACACCTCCTGAGACCTGCTGCGACGCGACGGCCGTGCCTCGGCCCGCGGCCCTCGGGGAGCACCACTCGCTTGTTCGTGAATCGGGGGCCTCCTCGGGAGGCGCACATTCTGGTTCCCGCGGTGCTGAGGTGCCGTGAACAGCACTGTGCGCGTCGGGGGTGGGGTTCTGGCTACAGGAGGCTGTGGGGAGGTGGCCGCATGGGCGTGGCCTGCTGATGTGGGTCTAGGGGAGGGAGCGCACGGCGGGCCACTGGTCAGGTGGCCCTGCACTGCCTCCCAGCTACACACGCAGCACCTTCCAGGATAAACAGGATGCCCGCTGGCCGCTTTCCTTCCCTGACTTGCTCGGGGGTGGGAGGGCCAACCCTGCAAGGAGTCAGGTGTGGCGAGAACTCTAAGTGCAACTAACAGGTCGCGGCCTTGGCGTGAAGAGATGTGGCCGTTTGGCCGGGCCACTCCTCCCACGTGGACGGTGAGAGAGTTCTGGTCCAGCGGCCTCTCCCCCAGAAGTCTGCCCTCACTTACCCCTGCACGAGAGGCTCTCCTCAGTCCCGCCGGGGGGGGCCAGAGTAGCCATCAGGAGCCCAGCTGCCCTGGCAGAGGGGGCCAGGTTCCTGGTCTGTCTGCGCCCTGCGGGACACAAAAGGGTGGTCACTCACGGTGGAGGCTGCCCTGGCCTCAAAGCCTCTCCCCGGGACTATGGAAACCCCTTGGAACCTGGTTCTTCCCCTCTGCTGTACCCTGCACCCTTCTGAACTGGGCCCCCAGTGGGCACACATGTGCACCCCAGTGAGCAGCAGGCCTTCTAGGCAAAATGAGGCTGGGTCGGGGGTGGGGGCACCCCGTGTCACCAGGACACCTGATGCCAGTGGCCCTTTAGTGTCTACCGATTCCTAGGAACATGAGTCACCCATGGGGCAGGCAGCAGGACCCCCAGTGACGCTGGGCCTTGGGTCCCACGTCCTGCTGTGCACCCTGCCCTCCTGGCTGTACACACGCCCAGAGAGGGGCTCCCTCTGAGGCCGAGGTCACTGATCCCGCAGGAGAGTCTGGGGGGCCCGGTCCTCACAGTCCAGGCAGCGAGGGGGTCAGAGAGGAGGGCCAGCCCTGCCAGGATCACAGCGACTCTCGGGAGAAGTCCTGGCTGGGCCAAGCAAGAAGGAAGGGTGAGGCCTCCCAAGCGCACGCAGACATCCGAGCACAACCCAGCCGTACAATCGCTCCTGGGAACAAAGGCTGTAGGAGCTTTTATTATAGGCAATTACCCGGCTCTCAGAGCTGGCCCGCCCACCGTCCGCCCGCTGTCTCCAGCTAAATGGACCCCTTGGCAGCTTGGCAGTGGGCGTGGGGAAGGCGGTACAGCGGGAGGAGAAACCGACGG